AAATATGTTTCATAAAAGTAATTAAACACATACCCATATAGGGGTAGACCAACTTCTGATATATTATAAACTTATTTTCAAACAAGTTTACACATTTAATTACACAAGTTGGTGAGAGTCTAGATCAGGAATGGGCAAACTTGATCCTTGAGGGCCGGTGTCCCTGCAGAGTTTTGTTCCAACACTAGTCAAACACACCTAAACAAGCTAATCAGTGTCTTCAAGATCACTAGAATCTACAAGCAGGTGTGTTTGATTAGAGTAGGAGCTAAACTGTGCAGGACACCGGCCCTCCAGGACCGATGGTATAGATGGTATATTAAGTAACCTCCTACCTACAGTGAATTCGGAAAGTTATCAAAGCACTTCACTTTTTCCAAATTTTTTATATTACGGCCTTATTCCAAAATGGTTTATTTCCTCAAAATTCCACAAACTATACCCCATAATGATAATGTGAAAATAAAAATTATTGTTGCAAAAATTATTAAAATTCTGAAAAAATCACATGTATACAAGTAATCTCTAAATTGAGCTCAGGTACCTTCTCTTTCCACTGATCAATTTTGAGATGTTTCAGCAGCTTAACTGGAGTTCACCTGTGGTAATTCAGTTGATTGGACATGATTTGAAAAGGCATACACCTGTGTATATAAGGTCCCAGGGTTGACATCCATGTCAAAGCACAAACCAAGCATGAAGACAAAGGAATTGCCAGTAGACCTTTTGAGACAGGATTGTCTCGAGGCACAAGGCTGGGGAAGGTTACAGAAACATTTCTGCTGCTCTGAAAGTTCCAATGAGCACAGTGGCCTCCATCATCAATGAGTGGAAGATGTTTGGAACCACCAGGACTCTTCCTAGAGCTGGCCGGCCATCTAAGCTGAGTGATCGGGGGAGAATGGCCTTAGTCAGGGAGGTGATCAATAACCCGATGGTCAAAGCATCTGAAGGACCCTCAGACCATAAGAAACAAAATTTTCTTGTCTAATGACACTAAAATTTAACTCGAGTGAATGCCAGGCGTTACTTTGGGAGAAAACCAGGCATCACTCATCACCAGGTTAATACCATCCCTACAGTGAAGCATGGTGGTGGCAGCATCATGCTGTGGGGATGTTTTCCAGCAGCAGGAACTGGAAGACTAGTCAGGATAGAGGGAAAGATGAATGCAGCAATGTACAGAGACATCCTGAATGAAAACCTGCTTCAGCGTGCTCTTGACCTCAGACTGGGGCGACGTTTCAACTTCCAGCAGGTCAATGACCCAAGGCACACCGCCAAAATATAAATGGAGTAGCTTCACAACAACTCGGTGAATGTCAGCCAGAGCCAAAGCCCAGCCAGAGCCCAGACCTAAATCCTATTGAACATCTCTGGAGAGATCTGAAAATGGCTGTACACCGTAGCTTCCCAAGCAACCTGATAGAGCTTGAGAGGTGCTGCAAAGAGGAATGGCAACAATTCCCAAAGACAGGTGTGCCAAGCTTGTGGCATCATATTCAAAAAGACTTGGGGCTGTAATTGATGTCAAAGGTGCATCAATAAAGTACTGAGCAAACGCGGTGAATACTGATGTACATGTGATTTTTCAGGTGTTTTATATTTAATAAACTTGCAAGAATTAAAAAAATCTTTTCACACTGTCATTATGGGGTATTTTGTGTAGAATTGAGGAAACAAATGAATTTAATCCATTTTGTAATAAGGCTGTAGCATTAACAAATGTGGAAAAAGTCAAGCGCTATGAATACTTTCCGGATGCACTGTATATTTACCTCTGTTCAAGAAACATTTTGTTGATGTTGTTGAAATGTTTAGATTTGTATTATATCTAGCCAAGTATAAACAACAGTAGGGTGAGTATTGAAAGAGCACTATTATCATTTTCATTTGCATTTGAGGAAAGGACCCATTCAATTAAAACAATAATTATTACTTAACAGTTCACCCAAAACAGAACATTCTGTAACCATTTACTCAATCTTTACAAGTCACAAACCTGATTTGCGTTTTTTTTTCCCTTCTTTGATTTTGAAAATCACCTTATGTGTTCAACAGAAAAAAGCAATCTCATAAAGGTATGCAACCTGTTGAGAAAGAGTCAATTTTATTGTTTGGGTGAACTATCTCTGTAACACTGTTGAATTGATTTAGTAAGTTAGAAGGCAAAATATGTAATATTCATCGCTAAAGGGTTGCGTATTTACAACAAAGAGTGTAAAATTATTGGCGTTATCGCTACTTCCTATGAGACGCCTGCAAAAATCACATTCATAGATGAGCTAAAGTATTCAAAACATGATCATGATGCATCAGGACAATAACTATTGAACTGACAGTGCTGAAGCGATTGCTGATGAGAGACAAGAATGACATTAAGGCCCCGTTTACACTAGTGCGTTTTAGTTTTAAAACGGCGTTGTAGAATGAAAACGATTCGCGTCCACACTCGCGTTTTACCCAGCGTTTCTGAACAGCTCTCAGTCCACACCAAAACGCGAAAACGCACATCACGTGACCACACACACACTCTCAGGCAAGCGCTCCAGCATTTCTACCCAGAAGAGAGCTCTGCTTGTCGGACTGCTCATCAAGCATCTCCCGCTGGATCTAATCTCACTATATTTGCTAAACGTGATATTTCATTCATGTTTTTGTCTTTATCTAACGACATAGGCCAATTCCCTGACTTTGGTCATTGGAATCTATTAAGTTACTTGTTCACGGGTAACATGTTTTGGTTAAGCGCAAAGATAAGTTAATGATTAATCCAGGTACATTGACTGATCGCTTGCCTTTATTTCCTACAATGTATAAATTTATTGTATGTTATACTTTTATAATTATCGATTATTAAAACTGATATTCAGCAAAAGAGAGGGTGTGTTTCGTATTTTCACTGAAATTGAAAGGAGGCAGTTGTTATTGGCTCCGTTTTGTTATAAATATCCACAGAGTGAAGATGACGCTCATGCAGCACGACGCCTCAACATTTCTGCTGTCTGTTAAGTTGCTAATATTAAAAAGAAAATAGGCAGTTCCTTAAATCATGTTTACATTTTATTGTTGAGAAAGTGAAACAACGTAGCCAAGGTGATGTGAATGAAGTTATAAAGTACACTGTTCCCTTTGAAGATTTACCCGTGTCCTCGGTATGTTTTCCATATCAAACTGAGAAGGGGGAGACTGCAGCCTTGATCAAACTTGCGAAGTCTTAACTTACAAGAAGAGGATGCGAGACTGAACTGTGTGTGTTAGGCTACTTAATATTGAGGAAAAGCCCCAATCAGATAGGCGAACGTTTGCAGCCCCGCCTCCGTTTTCAGATGTCTCCGTCTTTCCCCATCCACACTGAGACGGAGCAGCAGCGTTTTAGAATGAAAACAGCCTCTCCAGCGTTTTCGAAACGCTCCGTTTTCGGCGCTCGAGAACTCCGGCGTAGTGTGGACGGATGGCGTAACCGTAGCAAAACTTATGCGTTTTCAAACTAAAACGCACTAGTGTAAACTGGGCCTAAGGTTATGTTTCCCTTTTTTCTATAAAACCAAATGTACTGTAGGCAGGGGACGATAACCGTTTTTAAGGTATATGGTATTTTTTTAGGACAACAGAATCTCCAGCAGAAAAGTTACTTAAAGATGCCATTTTAAATTGTCAAGAAATCTGTTTCTGAAATGAGGACAGCAGAAGTCAAGGGTCTAATTTGAATTATTTAGCCTAACATGTTTACTGTAAGAGCGGCACGCTGGCTCAGTGGTTAGCACTGTCGCCTCACAGCAAGCAGGTCGGTGGTTTGAGTCCCGGCTGAGCACAAAGGCATTTCTGTGTGGAGTTTGCATGTTCTCTCAATGTTCCCGTGGATGTGAATGAGTGTGTATGGTGGGGATGAGTATCATTAAGCTTTTAACGATATTACTACTTTTATCGATACTACTTGTTGGTTCTCTTATTTGTTGGTTCTCTTATAGGTACTTTTTGTAGCGTTATTTTATTAATTATTTTATTATTACATTTGTAATGAAAGAAAACAAATTGTAAAACATTTAAATAAAATTTTGTCCTGTTAAAGTATGTACAATAGTGTAAGGAAAAAAAAAAACATTCTTCTGGAGAAAAATCAACATGTTTGCCTTTTCTGGCAGAAGTCAGAACCTTTCTTGGTTTATTGTGCTTCCTGCAGTTGAAAATACCCTCGTTAAATTGCAAAATGCAGTTAAATAATAAGAAAATAATAAAAATTTCTCATTAATACATTTACATAAACAAGTTAATAATGTAAAAATAAGGTGTTTTTATCATTTCTTACTAAGCATAGTTTATTATCAGGCTATTTATAGACTATATTTGTAAATACAGTAATATAAAAGCATTTTTAATGTTTAAGATTTATTTAGGCAAAAAAAAGTTTTCACTGTAGCAGAATGTGTGTGTTTGTTAAACTATTATTATAATAACTGCAAAGCATAACAATGTGGATGAAGCACCTATAGCTAGGCAGTCGAAAACTTTTTATTTGTCTTTCTGCTGTTAATGCACTTCTGAAAGATATCAAATAATTGAAATTAGATTAATTAATTTATGCAACTGTATGTAATGTTTATTCGGCAATAATTCTCCAGTACCCACAACAAAACCATTAACGTCAGAGCTTATCGATACTTTGTCTTTTATAATGTAGCACCGATAAAGAACCACGTTTCGGTACCCATCCCAAGTGTATGGTTCTTTGACAATACTGGGTTGCGGCTGAAAGGAGATCCGCTGTATAAAACATATGCTGGAATAGTTAGTGGTTCATTCCACTTTGAAATAGAGACTAAGCTGAAGGAAAATGGCTAAATTATTGAATCATACACAGATCGAATGACATATACCGGCCTGTGCCTGGTTTGATGTCATTAAGTCATTAAATTAAATAAATAAATAAATAAATAATAAGGCGAAGCAGTGGCGCAGTAGTAAGTGCTGCCATCTCACAGCAAGAAGGTCGCTGGGTCGCTGGTTCGAGCCTCGGTTCAGTTGGCGTTTCTGTGTGGAGTTTGCATGTTCTCCCTGCGTTCGCATGGGTTTCCTCCGGGTGCTCCGGTTTCCCCCACAGTCCAAAGACATGTGGTACAGGTGAATTGGGTAGGCTAAATTGTCAGTAGTGTATGAGTGTGTGTGTGAATGCGTGTATGGATGTTTCCCAGAGATGGGTTGTGGCTGGAAGGGCATCCACTGCGTAAAAACTTGCTGGATAAGTTGGCGGTTCATTCCGCTGTGGCGACCCCAGATTAATAAAGGGACTAAGCCGACAAGAAAATGAATGAATGAAAGAATGAAATAAATAATAATAAGTGTATATTAACGTATTGTGCATAAAAAAATGTACATATTATACATATTTAAAAAAATTTTGTTTAAACAAATTTCAAGTTGAATAAAACTGAAAAGCACACTGAAAAATGCTATGTTACCTGAAGGTTTTAATGTGGTCAGCTACTCCGCACAGCTGTAAACTGTGTGTTAAGGCCTGATGATACGTCAGAGCTTGAGTTGACGAACCCCAATTCACATCTGCGAGACCACAAAAAATTGATAGAGACAATTTCACAAAACCAAATCCCAAATCTGATGTGTATGTCTTTTGTTAAACATCAAGTCAAGCTTACCTGGTTTTTTGTAGCTGACGTAGATGTAAAGGGATAAGACAATGACGTTGGTCAAAAGCGCTGCCCACCAATTGATGATAAACATGACAACACAACATAGGATTGCCCCGGCCAGAGACGCCCACATGTTGTAGTACTTGAAGCTTGGCCTCCATCCTACCCAAACAACATGCAACAAACATTTAGAGATCTCTAGTCAGAAACCAGGAGACCTGCAGAATTATGGGTTAGGAAATGGCAGTGTAGTAAAAGATCAAAATGTCCCAATTACACAAGTCAACTGGAGCCAACATATTGGAACGGAACGACTAAATTGTTGGGTTAAAAACAACAATAGTTCTTTGTGGTCCGAAAGTGCAAGCTGTGCCATTCTGCCACGTTACGTAACAATATGGGACACAAACAATGGCACGCGGGTGTGTGATAGAACACCAGCCGAAAACTGATACCTGCTAGTGAAAGTGGGGAAGGGACACCATGTCTCTCTGAACACAGTCCAGAGACTGCTGGCTGCAGTAATGCTCACAAAGACATGGAATCCGCTCAAGACATTTCATATGAGGTTGTTAAATGTGCCAGAGCTTGACAATGTAGTAGTAGTCTTTACAACACAGATAATTTACATCAATGACAGTTTACAAAGCTGGAACATCACAGTTTTTTAAAAGCATGAAAAAAAGATTTGATTAAATGAAGTTAGCACAAGTTAGGATACATATGAGCAGTTACCAATACTAGGAAGGCTTCTTGAGCACAGGACACATACTAATGGGATTTAGTGGAGTCACGGTTACCTTGGAATGCTACAGAAACTACACGACATAAAGGGTACAGCATCTTAAACTGCATCTACAAAACATATACATGGGAAAAAAGTACAAGTACCCTTTATGTTCATGTAATTGTGTAGAGACTATATAAAGTGTCAGAAGTGTAGATATCTACCTGTTGGTCCTCTAGAGCTTTGGTATTGAGGGAAAAACAAACCTCTTTACACAAAGAATAAAGAAACGTGTAAAATTACAGCTTCAAAAAATAAGAAACACAGTCAATAACAAGATGGCAAAAATTGAAGACTCACTATCAATTAAATAAAAATAGCTTTCAAATACATCCTGTTACAAGAGAAAATGTCTATAGTACAACAATACAACCCTTTAAATTGGGACTGTTACTTTGCAAAGCTTCCCAAGTTCTGGAGGATGCCTATACAGTAGTCAACATTCAAAGTTAATCAAAAACATTTTTCAAAATTGTCCTAAGACAAGAAGCATAAACTGTAAAAGATATGGACGTAGTACCTGTGACGTCACCTATGAATAACGCAACATTTAAAGTTTGTGAATAACGCAAAAAAAGCTACATGTCGCCATATTTGTTTGTGCGTCATCGAACTGACTACGGGATACCAAACAAGGGCAAAGAGGCGAAGCATGAGCGGAGCTACAGACACCTGCTAGACAGCTTTTCTGGGAGAGAAATGCTTCATACTTGGGTATACACTACATCAATAAATTGTTTAGATTCTTAACACTGTTGTAGTACATTGAGCAACTAAGCATTGTTCTTATGACGCTTTCTACAGGAGGAAAATGCAAATCACTTTCAAATACTTACTAATATAGTCTTCGTTAGTAAAAGCAAGCCTATTTTTATGAAATCCCAGCATAACACTGACAACGTTTCAGATGACTGTTTTATAGCCTACAGCTAATCAATATGTCAGATTCTGGAGTGTTTTACAGGTCTAAAGAAAATTAAAAGTAAAACAAATACATTTATAAAGTTGGTATATAAGTACATAATTGCACTCAGCTGGAAAATGGAGGCAACTTGAACGGTTTGAGCACAATTAAGAGCAACAGCATGCTATAGTATCTGATAATTGCAGAAAATCATTTCAAACGGCAACTGACTGTGTAAAGCCACATAACACAAAACAAAAATACAATGTATATAGTTCAGCAGCTAATCAGCCGGAATCAGCTAAGGTGACGTGACGGCGACCAGTGAGACCTAGATGTCACTCAAGTGTCCGCGCCCTTAATTTTGCAGACTTTAAACTTAATAAAAACGAAACACATGAGTTATAAAAAAATTCACCACCCTCGCAGTTGTCATGAGGGGTAATATTAGCTATATATACCAAAGCCATCTTTTGTACCAGGCTGTAAACATGTTTTTATCAGCTGTAAAATTGGCCATTGCAGTCAGAAATCATTTGGATTTCCTGGAGTCAAACCCCAATGTTGCGAGTCGGTGAATTGCAGTTTTAGTAACTTCCGTATTGGCTTCCCAAGGGAGAGCAAGAATGAGTATTCAATAGTTTTAGGACAAATTTGATGAAAGGTAATGATCTACTTCAAATGTCGACTACTGTATCATCATGATCAGGATGGGAAGACAATATTCTTAGTACATTCTCTCCATATTCATGCAAATTGTAGTGATGATTGTATTCATCCAGCTACTCATTCTGCTGCTACTAAGATTAAAAGTTTTTTTTTTTTTTTACATTTATTTAAAATTGGTCAAATTAGTTGAATTGAATTAATAAATACTTACAATTTAGTAATGGGCAGGGCCTAATTTTAACACTGTGTTTGTGTTAAGTACAAATCGTGGAATCGTGGGAAGGTTTGTTAATCTTGCCAAAAAAGAGAAGCATCTTAAAAATAAATAAACACATATAAATATATATAAAATATGAATAAATAAAACAATATAATCCTTCCTTGCAACATTACTGTTGTAATAAAGTCTAAATTATTATTATTATTATTATTATTATTATTATTATAAAATTATACATGTAAGAATTAAAAACTACAAAAGTTCAGTAAAAATCCAGTGATTTAATTTGTGCAATTGTATTAAATAATAATAAGGACAACATCAACAAAAATAATAATAATGCTAATAATGCTACCATAAACCGCAATTAAATATTTCTCCATATCATTTTACAGTTTTTAGAGTGTTTGCTTGTTTGTTTGTGTGTATATTAATGCAATGAGATGGTAAAAAAAAAACGGATCTAATCAATAAATATAAATATACAAAATGCATTTCTTACGGCCAGAAAATGGTTTCATATATAATTGACACCAATGACATTTGAGCACTCTGGTGTCTTTGTAGACATGACCCAGCTCGTTTACAGCATGAATCCATCACACCTCAACCGGTTCAGAGAAGTGGGAGAATGCCTTACCAGGGGAATTGGCCAGCGAAGCGTGAAACACCGAGAAGTTGATGAGAGCGTATGATGCCAGGAAAAAGTTGGAAATGATTGGGGCAATGACGTTCAACTCCGCTGAAGAAATGAAAAACAAGTATGTGTCAGTGAGTTGACCTCATCTTTGTTGAATAAAATAATTTGATCAGCGCTTACCAATTAGAATGAAAGCTAACGCAATGCCAAAGGTAAGAAAATATCCTCGCAGGGGCTCGTTGTTCTTGCCATAGCCCTTTCCAAAAATTGCAATTCCAGGATAGATATTGTCTTTGCATAAAGCCTGAGGAAATGGAAGAACGCATCAAACCAGCAAGACCTGTTCCAACATTATAGAGCTCCTACAAGCACTGAAGTTTAACCACACTCATTGGTAAAGCACAATATAGTTAACTCAAAACAGTTAATGCAGATATCTACCTGAAACACTTTTGGGGCACTGACGAGAGATGCCAGGGCAGAGGAAAGTGTGGCAGAGAAAATCCCAGCACTGATAAGAGGACTGAAGCCTGACACCACGCTCATAACCTTCAACACAAGACATTCAGTCACAAATCAGTCCTACACAATCTTTCAGTGTCTTTCTTCCTTTTGTGGGATTTAGAGAGAATTTCTCATCTTTATGTCTTGAACCTTAAAGTTTGTTTATATATGGACTGTTTTGGTTATTAGTAATTTTTTAATAAAGCCTATAACAGTGATTCTCAAACTGTGGTACTTGTACCACTAGTGGTACTCGGGCTTATTCTACTGGTACGCGGAGGAATCACTGAGTAACAAAAGAAAAAATGAATACAATTTTAATCATTTGATTTGTACGATAACACCAATGTGATCAGTATTGGTTGTTCTCTGAAGCCTACGATCAAAGCGTTGCACTTAAAATGTTTACTTTAATGCATCGCATCATCAGCTGCTAAAAATCTATTTAATTGGCACAGAACTAGAAAAAGAGGTGCGTGGTGCTTGCAGAGCAGATACTGTACGTGCTAGAGCAGAGGTCCGCAACCCTTGAGCCACAGACTGGCACAGGTCTATAGATCAACTGGTACCAGACAGCACAAATAATCATTAATTATTTAAATTTTATTTATAATCTGAGTCTGAACAATCATTTATTTTGAAAAATGACCATGTTCTCTTGTTACATCTCGGTCACTTGAGGGCCAAAATTTAACCCACAGGCTAGTGGGTTAAATTTAGAATTACTAATTTAAAATTAGTAAGAACTGCAGCACGAAGCGCTTGCGTATTCCAGGCGTCCTCAGTTGAAAACATCTTAACTTTTCAGAATGCCACACGTGAGTCATATGACAAGAACCGACTGATCAGCTTCATATTTTGTATGGAATATAATTTCGTTGATTAAATAGAACTCTGCTTCGTTTTTGAACTGTGCAGTGCTGTAGCTGCTTAATTTGACCAACTACGCTACTTTATTTCAATACTGGTCATTATGGTGGTACTTGGAGAGACAATTTTTTCTGAGGTGGTACTTGGTGAAAAAAGTTTGATAACCACTGGCCTATGACATAAAAAAATTTAAAAAGTGTTTTTACCTCTAGTATCAGAACAACTTAATATTGTTTAAAAAATATTATAAAAATAAAAAGTTGAGTTTGAGAGAATAATATTGTAAATTGCGCAAATAAAAGTATTACAAGCAGAAAAGCTGTTTCCCTGAGTGACAAAGATGTTTAATAATGAATGAATCTGCAGTTTAAATGAACTACTTGACTAAACGAATAATACTATATATTTAATTAAGTTATTTACTTCTGCAAAGACTTACTTATCGGTTGTGTATTAAATCATTTCAAAGACTGACTCACGAGACATACGGATATAATGGTTACAAGTCACAAAGATTTATCATCATTTATCCGATTTTGGATTGAAGAACTAAAATAATAATAATGATATATATTTTTTTAAATAAAGGGAGAGTTCACCCAAAACTGAAAATTGTCATCATTTACTCACGCTTTACTTGTTCCAATTTTATTTGACTTTCTTCTATTGAACACAAAAGTTAATATTTTGAAGAACACTGTAACCATTGACTTCCATATAATACGTTTTTCCTACAACGGCTAACAGGTTATCAGTATGTTCATTATAACAAACAAAAACAGTATCAAACTGTGGAAACAAATTCAATGCAAGGCCTAGAGCAAAACTTTAAAATCTACCATGTGACTGCTCCGCTTTCTCTTTTTTTAATAGAACAGATGCACCTTTAACTTCCGTATATAAAAGTTATGATTCCTACTAAACCTACTTCAGAATCTCAATAGGACTTGGAAAAAGTGAGTGATTATAGTGAATACAGAGTGAATATTCATATCTGTTTACTTTGCTGATGTACCTGGAAATCATTGTGAAGACCAAACTTGCAGGAAGATACTTCTCCTTCAACCGTAGGTCTGCAGGAACTGAAGTCATAGCCATACTTACAGGCTGCATCAGTACAGTTTGAAATGAGAGTAAAGTTACTCTCGATTCCTGTAGCATCACGCACGATGCAAGCACCTTTGGAAAAAACAAAACAATTAAATCAGAAAAAACAAGAGTGATCGACTAATATTTAACATGATATGCAAGTCTACCTGCAGAAATGGCCACACCCACGTACACAAGGCCTGTTATGAGAATAGCCAAAAGCGTTCCTTTTGGGATGGCCATTTGAGGGTCCTTAGAGAAATTAAACGTTTACAGAGAAGCTTTGCGAATGACTGAATGAAGAATAACTACTGTGTGTGGAGAGAAACTGATTGCCAACACTCACTGCTAGATCTCCTGAGATGTTGGCACCAGCCAAAATGCCTGTGGCTGCTGGGAAGAAGATGGAAAAAACAGAGAAAAACGTCTGTCCTCGAAAGTCTGGACCAAAATTTTCCGCCAAGATGCCAGCTATAAAAAACAAGAGATTAGATAATCATGTTGTGGGATTACATGAAACACAATTCAACTGAATAAAAAAGTGGGTGCATTTAAATTTAATAGCTGAATTCTTACCATCATAACTAAAGAAGCCAAATTTCTTCTTCGAGTCAACAGCAATGAAGGACCCAATGAAGTAGTTGAAAATGGCAGTAATCAATATGACCAATAGGAATATCTGGGCCTGTAAAACAACATTTTTATGACAAACATTGTAATTTAGAAAAATTGCTTATAACTTCTGCTAAGATGACTGCTTTTGTTATGATCCTTGGATAATTCTGCAAACATTGATACCACATTTTCCATATTTTGCTAAACTTCCGGTCAGCCATTTTGATTTCATTTAAAAAGCTGCTTTTTCGAACTCTTTCTAGGCCGTTGGTCTGATTTTCACCAAACTTGACTCAGATCATCTTCAGACTGTGCTGACAAAAAGTTAATTCGTGTCGATAGCTTTAACGGTTTTTGTTTACCGCACTGACAAATCTGCTGACACGATGCCAAACGACATATGAGGCTGTATCTCTGTGATGCTTAAAGATACTGACACCAAATTTGAGGTGTGTCATTGCCATATTTACATATTTGGTAATAACTTTTGACGGCATATGCTAATTTAGATGAAATTGAGCTCAAATTATTCTTTAGGTGATGCTGAAAACATAGATACCGCATATGCCATAATTGGCCTAAATAAACTTAAACAATTCAGCCCTGGCTAATACTTAAAACAAACATCATATTAACAAATCTCTTGCCTTGGCTTCCCACTCCATTCCAGCCACTGAAATGCCGAGAAGCAGAATGACTGTAATGGTCCCAATGACTCTGATGTCATTTGTTTGATCGATCATTAATAGACCAGAGTCCTAAAGAAACAAACAAATAATAAATAGTATAATCTACAGTTGTACACACTATCATCCTTAAAACAATTAATTATGAACATAAAATATTTATTATGCACAACCTATGAGAATATAATTTGGTCTCTTACCATGAGTAGCTCAACAACAGTTTCGGCAAAACCCACAACATACATGGCTACAGCAACAGCATTGGCAAAGGCAAAAATGAGACCAATGGAGCCACCAAACTCTGGACCCAGACTTCGAGATATTAAGTAATATGCTCCACCTGAAGAACAGAAATAAAAACAACCCAACATTCAGGGAAAAAAAATCATTTAAAACAGATTTTGCAGCAAAATAATAAAAGGATAGCAATTTCCTCAACATAATTCCTTAACAAATCCTAATTCTCCCTATTGTTTATTCTTTATGGTAACTGCATTGTAAGAGTAGTCTGAATAAACATTTGATTCAGGGTAATTTGACTATTGGCCAGCAGGAACAACAAGAGAAGTGTGTTCATCCACATAGCAGTGGTAAAACCAAATAAGTCCCAGTGATGTAGTATATACCAAGAAGAGAAAGGGGCACAGCATTAAACTGTGAGAAACCCCAGTGGGTAAGATAATAATCGGTTCAGTTACCGATAACACTGCCGTACTGTTAGCATTGCTTTTTACCATATTTAGATGTTTTTTTATTGTTAAATTCTGATTACAAATGTGTCCAAATTACATCTTGTTTTTATTATTATTGTAATATTAATTCTACAGAAGATCTTATTTATTATTATAATTCTTAATAATGGTTAATAAATAATTGGAATAGCAAGAAAGATTAGGCCTAATCTCAGATTACCCACTACAAATGTCAATAGCAGATAAAACACAATTTAGTGCAATGCTGAAAACGAAAACAGACACTGTAGTATCCTGGTGTGTGTGAAAAAAATGCGAGTTATCTGAAAGGTGTGGAGGTGACAGCTAAATATCCATTTAAAAAAAAAAAAAAGCCGATCCTACACAAACACCCTTTGGGATTGAGTTCCCAACTGAGGTGCTTGTGGAAAAAAAAGAAAAATTTCCCCCATTCTAAAACAACATTTTTATAGTGCAATCACCTGGTCTCTCAGTTGAAGGCCTACAGAGAGGGTCAACTATCCTTTTCTTACTTCCAAACTATCAATGAACTTCTCAGTCATCTAAGGGAAAAACACTGAGATCTCAAAACACTAAAGAATTCCCCCACAAGCTGTGAGAACTGAGAGCATAATGCTGAGAACTTTACTGCACCTTCATCAGTCATTAGTTTAACGGCAGAACAGTTAGATGTGTCATCACAATCATGCCCTCAGAAAAGGAGAGTATAATTATTAGATCAAAAGAAAATTAACCAGGAGTTCAAAGACAGTCTGAGACCATAACTAAGAAAAAAATGAAATGTTCCAAGGACATCAGGAATTATGTATTCTACAAATTAACGATTTATTATGTGTAACAAGTACTTCATTTGTTATTCCTAAACCAACTCATCCATTTGGATGAGTTGGTTTGTTTACATGCAGAAAGATGTTGACTCAATCACGCGACCAGCTCCAAAAAGAACGAGTTACATTGTAATGTAGCATTGAGGTGCTATATGCATGGCTTTCCCTATGATAAGTATGTAAATTAATGACTTTTTATTAGACCATTTAATAAAGTTAAAGTCAGAATATTTAAATATATTTTATTTTACAGATGCTAATGTTATGCTGAACATAAATTTACATCTACACCATACCTAAAAAACTGTTTCTCATAAATATTGTATTATTGGATTTGTGAATAGTTAATTTGTTTGTCATGACTAAAAAGCAGTTTAAATTAGCCAGTTGGTTTCTAAAACTTTCTCTTTTAAACATAAATAGTATTAATGGGGTGGTCCACTACGATATATATTTATAGATATATTATAAATACATATATTATAAACTTAAGCTCATGTTTAATGTAGCTCTGTGAACATAAACAACATCTCTGAACGTAATATACTCAAAGTTTAATGTAAAGAAAGACTTTGGCTTTTATAGTGTTAGCTTAGCCAAGCCTAAAGCGAACGAATTTGGGGATTACAAATACATCCAGGTTAATGAAGTCAAACACTTCAGGTTACGCGCATTCATCCCTCGCAGCAAAGGGCCGTGGCCAGAGGTGTGGTAATGTTATAGCAGAGAAAGCTAAAATACCATCTAAACGCTGTTATTTCCA